TTTCCGGTTATACGTAAAAATATACTTTAATTAATAAATAAATAACACTGCAGAAATAACACAATCCTTTTTTATAAATAAACATATGAAAAAATATTTAGATCAAACCAAGAAGTTAATACATTTTTTTGTATTTCACAGGAATAGAACCTGCGACTATTAAAATTGCAGACCGTTAAACTAATACACCATCAAGCTCATCATTTATATAGATGGTTTGATGTGTTTATAATTATGGTTATTTTTTATTTTTATGAATTTGTGTATTGATTTGTCAAATGAGTTTTTGTGTTTAGTCTGTGGGATGGACAGATAACATAAAGGGATGTATTTAATACTATAGTGGTCATATTAAGCATGCATATGCTTTAGGCACTAATCATATACAATATCTAACATTAACTAATATACAATGTTAAAAAATTCAATAATGGTTACATTTTACGATTATATCTTTTAAACATGACTCATTTATTAAATACACGTTATATAAAAGAAATAACAGGATCTAATCATATATATTTGTATTATTCAGTTTTCGATATATCGATAACCTTGATCGCCGATATTTCGACAGGGTTATAATTTCCTTGATCAAGGTGATTGTCGAAATATCGGTAAGTGAGTAATACGATACGACATGAGAAAATCATATTATTTCATTAATATTGCAACAATTGGTAACGTAAAACCGATATAAATTTCAACAAAATTGTTTCTATGTTGAAGTTAAAAAAAACATCTGGTAGCTTGGTACTAGATATCTAATATTTATAATAAAGATATGAATAGATATGCAGTAAATATTCAATTTCATAGAATTGTATTGAGTGGTAGACTACAGACATTTTTCTATAAAAATATCTAAAGGATAATATGTTCCCATACCCAGTTTTATATCATCTAAACTTTCAATATATTCAGTTAATATATTCTGACCACCATCAAATTAACTTCAACTGAATTTCATTATAATTTCGTCTTTGACGAAAATATTCTACTACAATTAATATTAAAAGTCGGGCATCAGAAATAGTTTCAAATATGTATACATATAAGCTTTCTGTTCAAAATTTGAACAAATATTTGCGGTTTATCGTTGAAGGTCCGTGTTTTAATGCAAATTAATGCTTTTTATGGTTCTCGATCGGTTTCTTAATAGAGATTTAACACTTTTTACGGTTCCCGATCGGTTTTTTAATAAAGATGTACGCTTTTTGCGGTTCTCGATAGGTTTATTAATAAAGATGAACGCTTTTAACGGTTCTCGATCGGTTTATTAATAAAGATGAACGCTTTTTACGGTTCTCGATCGGTTTCTTAATAAAGATGTACGCTTTTTGCGGTTCCCGATCGGTTTTTTAATAAAGATGTACGCTTTTTGCGGTTCTCGATAGGTTTATTAATAAAGATGAACGCTTTTAACGGTTCTCGATCGGTTTATTAATAAAGATGAACGCTTTTTACGGTTCTCGATCGGTTTCTTAATAAAGATGTACGCTTTTTGCGGTTCTCGATCGGTTTATTAATAAAGATTAACGGCGGTTCTTGGTCGGTTTTTTTTAACAAAGATTAACGCTTTTTCGGTTTTTATAACGCAGTTCATGCTATTTGCGGTTCTTGGTCGGTTTTCTAACGCAGATTTTTGATGACGCTTTCAAAATTACAATAATTTTGATAGTTCACTTTTACTTCTGCACTAGTACTGTGAGCACATATACGAATATTTACTAAGTTTTAATTGTGTGAAATTCTTGAAATATCTGTTCAAATCTGATTCTACATCTGATGCCGACTTAATGAAGATTAATTTAGAGGTCCTTTAAAAAATTCCACATTTTAATTAATTAGCTACGTTTTGTTATTTTTAACTGTCTCCAAATTGTTAAGTACCTAGATATTTCTCCTGCTTTGTTTACTTTCTAGCTTTAAGCATAATCTCCGCCAAAATTCATTCTGCACAAGATGGTCAAAGAATATGATGTACCAACTCGTATAGTTGTTTCCTCATAGTTGATAACCACTGCTGTTGATGAACAGGGTACAGAGAGTGAACAAGATGGTATCAATCTCTCAATTGTTGGGTTGGTTATAAACCTCAAACATAAGTGCATATAGCTAACAGGCCAATACACTCTAACTACTAACAAGAGTAGAGACTTCCTATCACTTACCATCAGGTAAACCTCTCTTTCTTAATTAGATCTTTTTTCTTTCTTCCTAATCTCTAATCAACAATTAGAGACAATGCTGAAAGTGGTATAAATAGACGCTACAATTATTATAATTAAAAAAACCAACACAACGTCATTAACTCGTGCTAATGTAAATCCTTTTAAAAAGGGCCCCATAAAGTGTATATTTTATTTTACTATAATTATATACATAATAATATTAATTTTACTTTATTTGCCTGTTATTTCCTATTACAGTTTATTTGATAGTAAAACACTAATAGTTAGCGAGAGGTAAATGCAGAAATGTGTGCACTTAATAAGTTATACATATAGCCCTGTAATACTATTAATAGCTGTAAAATGCATGCTAAAATTAATCTACCATACTTGTTAACTACTCCGACAAATCTATTAATTATGGTTCTTTCAATACTTACTAATACACTAATATAACGTTCAATTCTATACGCATTGCTGTTTTTACATTCCTTAATAATCATACTAAAATAATAATTAAAACAGCACCGTTTAAAATAAAATGAAACTCCGATTCGATATATAACTGAGCTTTTTAAAGTGATAAGTAATTTATAAATTTATTTGTATATAGCTTGGTCAAAAATTGGTCTATTCATCGGACAATATTTAATTTAGGACGAAGCGATTTGAAAATTGTAAACAAAATATTATTTGTTAGAACAATACAAATGTAATTAGTACAAGGAATGCTGATATGATGTTTTATATAATAAATATAATATATGCTTGCTCTAAAATCACATCAAAATACGTCACTAATACTTTCATTCTATAAAAATATTATTATTATGTACTTCACAAAATTCCTATTAAAGCCTGCCCCATGCAATTTGATGCTATTTGACTTGAAACTCGAGACATTACATCTATATACTAATTATTACTAATAACTACACCAAGTATGTTCTGTGATAGACTACCAAAGGTAGTACACTGACAGTAATTTATCTTCAAATGTACAAGATTAGTCGGAAAGGATAAACCAAAGTAATGATCATGAAATTGAACCCTGTTACGAGGAAATAAAGTGAAAATCCCAAAATACTAATTTGATCACGTGAGACCTCAGTTTGTAGGAAATATTGGTTATAAATTTTATTTATCTATTCTGATTCTTTGTAGAAAGTTTCATGAAAACTATCTTTGGTTTACGTGTCAGTATATTCTTTACTACTAATCCTGTATAAGAGATTTTTAAGTAATACATCTATCAAAAATAATGAAAAATATAGTATACTTACAAAGAATTCATGAAAGGAAATTATGTAAAAATAATTCAGATTTATGACAGCAGTAGTACAATTATAATAACTGTGGTAATAATGTGGAGACGATGATATTTGAGTATATATTTTGTACAATCTTTTTTTGTACATATACATTGTAAATAAGTTCAAAATATCCGCATATAAAAATATTAATTAAAAAAGCACTCATAAGTATACAATACTCATATTTCCAGTTTAAATCATTTCACAAGACTTATGTTATATCAAAGACATGAAAAGCAAACTCACATCAACTCTGTGATGCCAGATCGGGGGTTTTCCAACCAAATTAAAAGGTAATATGTGGCAGTAGTGGGAAATTTCATGGAATATGTGAGGGGACAAAATGAAAATTTTTGGTACTATTTCTTCTAATCTAAATTTTAGAGGATTTTGCAAACCAAGACGATTTTGGGGATCGATTCTGAAGAAGAAATTGGGGGAAAAGAAGACTATTATCTGGCAACACTGCTTTACATATACCAAACTGACGACATTTAATACAATAGGGTGCACACAAAATTTATACAAAATTATACATTATAATGTATACAGTTTCCCAAATATAAGATTAAGCATCCGATATGTATATGACACTATATTTTTTACATTTTTTATTAAATTTCCAGAACGTACGTGAACCCATTCAGTTGGTGTAACCTTTTAGAAAGTGTCCACCTATTTACATTTTACAAATCACTAATACTAATAAATATTCGTTGTTATCTTAGCCAGATAATACCTACATTTAATTATAATATAGGGGTTCATAAAATAAATTAAAAGCGCCTACACACGAAGCGATCCTGGATGCGCCCTAAAACTGTTCCAGTATCGTCTACGATTTTAATACCGTGTGTAGACACTTTAATAGGAATGTTTTATTCTACTATCACATCCAAAACTACTCCGTCATACATCGAGAATTAGCAACAGTCCAAAATCAACCTTTGAGCCCGGATCTTTCAGGTTAACACTACATGGTATAACTCAGTATCTAAGAACTAACATAGAATCCTGATACTGATATATAATTATAATTCTGCAACTAAACACTATATATTTATCACATTCTGACTTATGGAGTTACCAATTAGTTAGAAGAGATCGCTTATAGAAATATCAATCCGAAATTTCGAAAGTTTAAGATGTTAGTTCTAAATTTCTGATTAAAACGTGGCTAAAAACCAAATCAAAAGTAGTGAATCTGATCTGTAGATTCAAAATGCACATGTTTCTTGCCATGCGTCGGAAGCACAACCAACAACCATCAAGCGGGACTGCTTTTCCCGTACTTTATAGTGGATACATCTCTCACTGCATTGTTTGGACTCTTTGGTAGCTTAGCGTCATCTTTATCAGGTTCGTTTATTTCTGGTATTGGATTCTTGGGTTTCTGTGTGTCAAGTACTTCTTTATCGGCCTGGGTGAGGACTTCTTGGACGTGGATAGTGAGCTCTGGTCTGACGACGTGGGTGAAAGGCAACAGGGCCCCGGCTACGTCCATGGTATTGTTGATGTTTCTGTGCCATAACTCGAGCACGACGCTGCGCCGTTGCTACTTGTACCTTGGCGGGCCGAGCCAGCCGCAGCCGAATACCTGGTTGGAAGAATAAACATATATACACATATACACACACATTCACGATTACTATTTCAAAGGTTGTCAAAGAGTTACACACACATCTCGACCGTATATTTCTAGAACACCAATGACTCAGAGAATCGGAAGAACCCGGGATAATCGAAATGATATTGTCATTATTATTATTACATATATTTGTAATAATAATTAATGTATGAACGGGATATCATTAGTATTTACCGTGATAGCAATATTTATGTTCTCCCGATATTTCGATACGGTTGTAACCGTCGAAATTATCATTGTTGTCATATCGATAAATATCCTGTCTTTATAATGTTGGAAATAAGTGTAGGCTCTAATGTGCGTTACAGAATACAATTTCGCATTAAATAATATTCCAGTTAAATAAAACCATTCGTCTTCTCAGTGCGGTTCTCATTTTCGGGGCTATATTTTTAATTTTCAGTATACATATATTTTTTTCATAACATTAAAGACAAGCGTCCGCATGACGTGCTTTTCGAAGCTCTCAAACGATTAAATTTTTTTATACGAGCTATTCAGAAATAAGTACTTTGCATGAGTATTTATTTCCTTTACATAAAACTGTTACGTTGCGTCGGAAACTAAATCTTATGCACATTTATACAAATATTTCAAATAACATGAATTGAACTGTAGATAAGATATTTAACACTAATTTAATATTGTATAATAAAATGGTACACATACATTTTTAGCAAGTGCTTAATGAACGTTGCAAGAAAGTGCGAGTAAAACAAATTAACACGGTAGATGATCATTGTCAAGTTATGAGTTCACCATGACATGTTAGCAACGCTATTTACTATCCTAATCCAGATTGACAGTTGCAACTCTTCTCGTAGATCACTAATAACATATATATTTATATTTAGAATTTACCTGGCAAACTACTACTCCTAGCAACAAATATATTTATCTTTAAAAATTTACTAATCGAGCACTAATAATAGTAACAAATACATTTAGAGTAAATTTTGAATACACCATAACATGTTGGCAACGCGATTTACTATTCCATTCTAGGATAACAGCTGTAACTCATCTTGGAGATCACTAATACTACTAACAAATCTCTTTATAGAACTTACCTGACCAACTACTAGCAACAAATATATTTAAATTTAGAACTTACGAACTTACCTGACCAACCACTAATACTAGCAACAAATATATTTAAATTTAGAACTCACCTGACAGACCACCAATGCTAGTAACAACAGCACCAATAACGCTATGACCCCCCACACAACGCCCAGCTGCGTCAATGCGAACACATACAGCGTTCTATGGCACCATTGGTTCGGCTCGAATAATGTAGGAGCGTAGTCTGGCCACAGGATGCCCAGTGTCCAATAGTTGCCGAATGCAAACCTGTACAAAATTATATATGTATATATATTATATATGTATATAATATACAAGCACTTTTGAATAGTCATATTTTGATTCTACCACTCATTCGGAATGCAGACTCATCACAAGAAGAATAATCTTTTAATAGATGTTTTTTTTATATAAATAATTACAGCGTAACAAGTAAAGATGCGACAATCAACATAGAAATCGCTCTCATTATTAGTGTAATCAGATAATATTGTCAGTGCTATGTATTTAAAAATTTTCTACAAAAACATTATTATCGTTAACGAATTCTTCAATTTTATAGTAAGCTTTTTTGCAAAGGAAGTGTTTTATTTGACATTTAAATCTTTTTTCTGGCAGATTTATAACAGACTCTGGTATTTTATTGTAAAACCTTACGCAATTGCCATAAAATGAATTACTAACTTTAGCCAAACGACATTTAGGTAAAATCAGTTTGTTATTGTTACGTAAGCTTTTATTAGTGCAATCACTAACTCTTTTGAAACTGTCTATATTCTTCCTGGCATACATGATATTTTCATAAATATATGGAGAAGCAACGGTGAGGATATTTGACTCCTTAAAGCACTCTCGCAAAGACTCCCTGGAACCCATGCTATAAATAGAATGGCAAACATTGGTTTGCCATATAAATTAAAAACGCTATTAAAAATTAAGGGTTCATGGTATAAGAGTGAAAATTTAGAGACGGATGTATTTTTTAATCCCGAATCTCAAAGATTTTTTTGAGGTGGGACACCCCTATCTCGTAGGCATATAAAAAGTAGTAACAAGCTGTTCTCAGACCTCAGATATCTGTTTGCGCCTGTATACCTTACATTTTCCTTACGTCCACAAGGAATCAGAAAGAGACAGAAATACAGCGAGCCTGATCGGCAATATTCTTGGCAGTCGGCTCGTATTATTTGGTCTAATTAGATACCAATATCCGTTGTGCTATTCATGTATATAGGCTACCACTTACCATCAGGTGGGCCGTCAGCTTGTTGACCATTATAATTACATAAAAAAATTTAAATCAGTGCAGAATAAAAAGCAGTCAGTTAGTCAATATATATTAGTACTATTCAAGTATAATTACATAATTATTAGAAAATGGCAACATTATACGGACGAAGGAAAGGGTAAATGCAGGAAATTCGTCATATTTCTGGCCACACTGCGCTGCGTACAATCAAAGTTGTACATATCTAGTTTGTTCCATATTCTGAGCATAAATCACGACACTTCAGTCATCATGAAGCGGAAGTTATGGTAGTAATATATGGCAACACTTCCGTTCTAACGTCGTTTGGTATGTGTCGCATTTCCGTTTCGAATCAATTCGATTGTAGCGGTCGACGTAGATGGTCCTATTTTTGTTTTTTTTATTTCGGACTACTCCAATGCTGCAGCTGGCCTTTACAGCTTCACCGGACGATAGGGGGCGAGTGCAGATGGACCAAACCCGCGGAAGGACTTACGGAGCAGCTGAAGGCCAACGGCGGGACCTGACGGATACGAGTTTTAGTCTGAGGGCACCTCTAGGGTTTCGAACTCGACACAGGTCGTCGTAATTTCGAACCTGTTTGAATTGGATGGTGGATCGATCGTAGGGGTGACCTGGAGCACCCGGTTATTTTCGGTGTGAAAACTATTTATTACATTTATTTTACTCAAAGTATCAAAATATAAATAATAACCCAGGATAATCACACAGCATCATCTCGTTCTAGAACTAAGCAGAACTTGTGTTATGAATAGTAGTTGTCTAGAAATATTTCTTTTATAGTGCGTAGCGGTTTCTGTGGTGATTGTCGCATGCCTAATCCTTGTTGTTAATTAAATATAAGTAAATCAATATTTATTTAAAAGGGCAACACACAAATTTATTGCTCTTTCTTCTTGTGATGAATCTGCATTCTGAATGAGCGGTAGAATCAAAAACTTGACATTTCAAAAGTGCTTATATTAAGTTTATTTTAATAAAGATTATTTCTATTTCAATTTCTATTATATTTAGAAAAAAAATTGCATCATGTGAGATTGTGTTGTTTTATATTATTCTGATAATTTATTATAATTCCATTGTGTTGCATATTATTTTATTTTTTTATACTATCTTGTAATGTTCATGATGTTGAGCTGTAATTGTTCATAGAGATGATTTTTCAGTTGCGTATAATTTTGAAACAGTATTGTTCAAGAAAATCTTTATAGTGTGAAACATTGATATTAGTTGCCTTATGCTATGAACAAAATTTCATCGAGTTTAATTAGTTATTGTAGAGAATTTTCGAGAAGTTTCTACGGAATAGCATTCAATAGAAACTTTTCCGTAAAGAAGGGTCGAGGACATGCAGTTTTAACGTTAAGTCGTTATTTTTCTAAAAAAAAATGTTTTAAAAAGATATTGATATATAACTATTATTAAAATATATCAATATCTTTTTAAAACATTTTCTATGGTACATTGGACTTATAATAAATGTCTTTAATATATCTACATGAATAAATATATTTTGATTTGATTCAATATTTAGTAATTTCATTCATTACTACATCAATGAAACATATTAAAAACATTCCAACGTTATTCAATTTATTAAAGACAAAATGGGATAAGAGAATAATCATACTTCCTCTTATATTGTGTACTAGCAACTCTACCCGGCTTCGCATGCATTACAAATCTTTGAATTTCTCGACTTGTTCTAGTAGAAATGAATGAAAATAATATAGATATAATATATATATAATATTATATAATAATAAGTTTATTATTGCAGTTCCACAATCCACAGACGATTTTTTTTTTGGATGATAATGGAATTTTGCACCCGCCTGCGCTAACGGTTTACGCTGGCGGGGCACCAGTGGAGGATGATAAGATGAGTATGAGGTCAGGTCAGATAGCCCATCGTGACTAATTCACCAGGAATTTACCACGATGATTTCCAGGGGGAACCGCGTGGATGTCGACCTGAGATGGTACATTGCTAGCAATGGGAGTTATCAATCCACATTACTAGGATCCATCCACCATCCACAGTCGATTAGGAACATTTTGAAGCTCCATGATGCGAAATTGCTACGTCCTTCCAACTTGGGGATCGGCGGGACTCTACTTGGGATTAAACTTCCACTTGCAGAAAATGGGTTTCCCGATACAGTGGTGGCTGATCCACTTTGAGATTCCATAGAATGGGTGAATCATTTTTGCCCATAACCAGTAAAAATGAATGAAAATAATATAGATGCTTGTATAGACGTAATCATAGCAGAGCGCAGTGACAGAATTGTTTTAACACAAATTGTCTAAAAAGAACTCACATATTTTAAATATAGAGAACAAATATAAAAACTGCCAGTGACTCTCATTGTAGGTCTAACAGTTCTGTACTATAACACGCATGTATTGTACATATAAACCTATTTTAACTCTATCTACTGCTGAAAACTGCATTAAAATCCGTTGCGTAGTTTAAAAGATATAATCGAACAGACAGCGACAGCGACTTTGTTTATACTATGTAAAGTAACTCAATAATGTCTGTTTTTTATGCAAAAGATTCCGTAAAATCTCCGAGTGATCTGAGACAAAGCGACCAGCACAAAGTCTTTGGAAAACTCTAAAATTATTCATGAACATTACATAAATCAATAAATTATTTCACAAAATATTTGATATCCTGAACTTTGATGTAAAACTTTTTTTTATCTACAAAAGAAACAATCGATTATTATACTTTGAAAAGATAATACTTCCTTCAAAGTGGGTAAGCATCTGACAAAATTATTTAACAAAGTTATTTTGTTTGGTATTAAGTTTAAAACTTCGGTATTTTCTTCGCCGTGTCAGTTATACAAGTATTTTTATGACAATTTTTTCCCCTCTTGAATATGATAGGTACCTACACATTTGAAGCATTTTACTTTTAATAAATATAGATTAGATAGATAGATGTCGTGTTGAAGTTAAAGAAGTATTTCGATCTTGAACTAGCTACTCCTGCTTCGCCCGGGTGTACATGTATTATACATATAAACCTTCCTCTTGAATCATTGTCTATTAAAAAAACCGCTTCGAAATCCGTTGCGTAGTTTTAAAGATTTAAGAATACATAGGGACGGACAGCCAGCGACAGCGACTTTGTTTCATACTATGTAATGATGATGATATGTTTGAAGCATTTTTTTATAAATATAAATAGATAGATAGATACAATTTTTATTTTGGCACTGTAATAAAAAAAACAACAAAAAAAAAAGTAGAAACACAATTACATGGGTCAGTCAACAAAATACAATACAATACAAATATGATATTCAACATCAAAAATATAAGACGAATTATAATAAATCATAATATTTCAGGACAATTCGCACAACGCCATCTAGTCCAGAGCTAAGCTAAACTTGTATTATGGGTACTGGCAACTGATGTAAGTCGTTAGATATAATAAAAAATGTATTCAAGTATTTATATCAGTTGTCTAGTACCCATAACACAAGTTCAGTTTAGCTTTAGACTAGATGGCGTATGCGAATTGTCCTGAAATATTATGATTTATTATAATTCATCTTATATTTTTGGATGGATGAGCTGGATGTCGCTGAGTGGATTATCCATTGGGTTATTATTATTATAATTATATTATTATATTATGATTATTATTATATTCTTTTTACAATATAGTACCTACACATTTTTATGTACACGTTTAACAAACTGACGGTAAACGGTAACCGTCGGTTACCAACCAAATACATGAACAAAACTGGACATCATTAACATCGTGATCATATGCCGCATGTGAAATGTTTTGTGACTATTTATTCGTCATCAAACATTTCACATACAGCAGTGGTGCATGAGATGCAAATGCACTTGCTTGGATTCGAACCCACGATCTGATTTAAAACGGTGTGCTAAACCGCTAGACTATGCGTAAAGGATATAACAATAATCTCAGGACAATTCAGACAGCGCCATCTAGGCCCAAGTTAAGCTAGCTAGAGCCTGTGTTGTGCCTAGACAACTGATACAAATGCATAGATTTTTTTCGTAAATACATACATTTATACATATAAAACATCCAGATCGATACAAACAATCATACTCATGAATACAAAAGAAAAGTTTATGCCGTGCGAGGAATCGAACCCGCGACCATCGGAAGTGAGGCGGTGCGCTAAACCGCTAAACTACTGAGGACATCAATACACAATAGAATCTAGTATTATGAAATAATACCACTTACCATCCCATCAGAAACACGGTGAGAGTATAAGCCAGGACTCTTTCAGGCACGCTGGCTGAGGAGTTGGAGCTCCTGCTGGCCAGTTGAGCCCATAGCAGCCAGCAGATGCCTGCTCCCCCGGCGGCTCCTCCGACCACCATATATACCGGTATACGAGGCTCGGCTGGACAATCTCTGATGTATTGAACACCTGAAGGGAAATACTCAATGTATATCTGTTTGTATTATGTACCTCAAGTTGTGTAACGCGAACTTATGGCGATTATCTGCAGATTATACCAAGCTGAAGGGGAAACACCATTATACGTGCTATGTGGCTGTAGTCCACTCATGTATTAACGAAATCTCCTTTGGAAAGATTACACTCTTTCCTGATGAGATAAAAACCATCGCTCCTAAGAATAACCTTCAAATCCTGTCCCTGATAGGTCTAGGCAGCGAATTTGAAAAAGGGTGAGCACAATCCCAAATTTTCATCCTTGTTGTAGGGGTACAACAAGGATGAAAATTTGGGGAAAATGAAAATTCTTAAGTAGGGACTTATGCCTAATTAAAATATCTCCTTTGGAATGTTCACACTCCTTCCTGAGGAGATAAAAACTATCGCTCCTAAGAATATCCTTCAATACTTATCCCTGACGGGTCTAGGTAGCGAGCTTTGATAAAGGTCGAGCACAATCCCAAATTTTCACACTTCTACCATCATCATTTTAATAGCATCTGCAGATTTTGTCAGGCTGAAATGGAAAAGTCACTCAATCCCTATTTTTTAAATAGCATCTGTAGATTTTGGCAAGCTGAAGAGGAAACTCTACTATGTTGTTGTACCCCACTCACGCTTAATTAAAATATCTCCTTTTGAAAATATACACTCTATCCTTAAGAGATAAAAACCATCGCTCCTAAGAATATCCTTCAATACTTGTCCCTGACGGGTCTAGGCAGCGAATTTGAAAAAGGGCGAGCACAATCTCAAATATTCACCTTTCTACCATCAACCTCTATTTTGTAATACCATCTGTAGATTTTGACAAGCTGAAGAGAAAACGCCACTATGTTGTTGTACCCCACTCATGCATAATTATAATATCTCCTTTGGAAAGTATATCTATCCTGAGGAGGTAAAAACCATCGCTCCTAAGAATATCCTTAAATTTTTGTCCCTGATGGGTCTAGGTACCGAACTTTGAAAAAGAGCGAGCATAGTAGTTATGCAGATCTCTGTGCTACAGGTCTTAGTATCGGATAATAGCCCAAAACTCTTAATTAAAAAAAAATGTGTACCTTCTGAACTTCGCTTCGGATGGTTATTATAAGGTATTTCAATTCATCATCATCATTGCCTTGCCTTTATCCCATTATTGGGGTCGGCAAAGTATGTAATTCTCTTCCACTGCTCTCTATCGGTCGTCATATCTAAACATACTCTTCTTTTATTCATATCATCTTTCACACAATCTATCCATCTTTTCTTAGGGCGTCCCCTCCCTATTATAAGGTATTTCAATTATTGTATTTTAATTATTTTATAACACCAACCTTATTCACACATCTACATTCAAAGACACCCTACTCTCACACGTACACACACCCCATCCACACTATTCTATTACTATTGTTTAGTTAGTATTACTTTTTCTTATGCATAACAATAATCCAACGAGCCGTGTCTGCGGCACTGGTGCCACGGCGGAACTCGTGCTCGTAAACGCGATATTTTTTTCCATTTTGTAAACTGAGTGACGCAAAGTAAAAAGCAAAATGGAAAAAACATGTGGATTACGGTTTTCGAAAAACAAATGCATGAGTAAATAGCTGTATAAATTTGAAATTGGAATTCCTAACTAAAGAGGATATATTTGAGAGCAAAGTGGGCAGTACGAGAAATCGCCAGTTTCATATGTTAGGACCTAATAGAATGCACCCGCCTGCGCTAACGGTATATGCTGGTGGAGCACCAGTGGAGGATGATAAAATGAGTATGAAGTCAGTCCATTGTGGCAAATTTATCATGAATTTATCAGGATTTATAGGGGGGACCATGTGGAGGTAAACCTGATATTACACGTTGCTAGCAATGGGATTGTTAGTCCACATTACTAACAAACGCCTTCCCCCAGCTAGTAATATTTTGGTTTGACAAACAACGACCTTTAGTACATGAAAATACGTATGTTTTCATCACAATCAAAATCAAAATGAAAATTAAAAAATATCTTTATTTATGTAGGAAATTAACTTCATTTTTCTATTACAGACTCTCATGATATGTCAAATCTCAAAATCGTCAGTTCGGAATGATTTCGAGATGAGAAAACTGACAAGATATATAAACTCAGCTCATATATATTTTTTTTAATATTGTACACATAGTAATATATTATATTATTTACAATAATACTATTTCATTTAAATTCAAATTTTGTCTATTACAGGATAGAATAGAATGATTTCAAGATGACCATCAGCGTATATATGTACATATTTACAATAATACTATATAAGAATAGGGTGACCACCAGCATATTCTATATAAAAAAAAATCAAAAAATCTAATCAGTATTCGCAACCTGAACAGACCAGTCCCCACAAGCAGCACCCGTTCACGAGTATGACGGATGAGCCAGCCATCATTGCACTCGACCATATTAGATCACATCGACCCGGCCCACCACGCCGCCACAAGTTTGAACTTTATAGCGAGCATGACTGTTTCAAGTTACTCCACTACGTCATTTATATTATTTACAACATAAACTGTACCAATCACAGTTTTCACCCATTACAATATTTAATTTACATTATTTAGACACCCGTACAGTCCACCGATCTATTACAGATTGGATATTACAATTGAGATTGCGTGGGTAAATACTGATATCGGTATTCGAATATAATACGTCCCGGATTATAATCACACGGGTCTGGTTAACCGGATACAAACATACAAATGCGGTGTTGAATTCATACAAACGAATTGGATCTTCATGTTTGTATCGTGTACATAAAAATTCATTGGTTCAATATAATTCAATTCAAATTAAAAAATCATTTATTCATGTAGGACATTTTAGATGCTTATGAACGTCAAGTTTTTACATTATAATTTTTTTCCCTACCGTCCATAGTCATCGTCGAATAGATTATATACAATTATATTCCTTCCTTTTCAGAGATAGCTGTCATTATTTTTTTAGAGAGTAATGATTATAATAATATGTGCTTTAAGATACAAAACGAATGACATCTGTATCTAGTCGTAAATTCTACGACAAGTACTAAAATTATGGAGAAAGAGAGCGGATTTTGTTACTGACTGACCTGAGAAAATTAGTCTCTTTTTGTATATAATGATCTATACATCTATACATATATATAAAATTGGAGTATCTGTTTGTAATATTGAAATAACCGTTTTTTATACTACATGCATATTTAATATCATAGTTGAAGAAGATAAATCAAATGTTAACAATCAAATGTTAAGAAGAAATTGTAACACAACTCACTACTAACAGTGGTAAGTGATAGACAAAATGACTCTGTTATATGGAAATAGATAGATAATGATAGAAATGAAATAGATAATGAAAATAGAATAGAATAGAAAACCATTTATTCAAATAAACTTAATTTAAGCGCTTTTTTATTTACCACTCGTTCGGAAAGCTGTCTCATCACAAGAAGAACGAGCAAGAAACTTGCGTGTTGCTCATTTAAATAATCCTTGTAAGTTTACATTTACAAGTCGAAACGTGTGAATACAAACTACCAACCAGCACTAATTTTTTGGGTCAAATATAAATATACAATAAGATTAAATCAGTCGTAGTGATAAGAGCAGACCAGTCCCTACAAGCAGCACTCGTTCACGAGTATGACGGATGAGCCAGCCATCACTGCACTCGACCATATTTTAGCGAGCCCAATGACCCGGCCCACCACACCGCCACATGTCTGGACATTTTAGTGAGCATGACTACTCATTCCACTCGAATTGAAAAAGATAATAAAATTGCTTCTAATGAAAATAGTATTAATAAAAATGAAGAATTTGTAATGAAACTTAATAAAGTGCTAACTAAAGAAACTTGTAATGAAGTTGAAGCAATTGGTACAGATAATAATAAAATAGCTTCTAATGAAAATAATTATAATACAAACGAAGAAATTGTAATGGAAATTAACAAAGTTCTTAGTAAAGAAACTTGTAATGAAGTTGAAGTAATTGATACAGATAATAATAAAATTGCTTCTGATGAAAAGAATAATAATAAAAATGAAGAATTTATAACGGGAATAAACAAAGTGCTTAATAAAAAATCTTGTAATGAAGATGAACTGACTGGTACAGAAAATAGAAAACAGAATATGAAAAACGTAGAAATCAAGAATGAATAAAATAATGGAAAGAAACAACTAAACGTTGAGTCTCTGCGTCATTATATAAGTCAAATTGTCTTCTCTGGAGCTGCGGTTGTTTTCTACGCAAACAATTAAATGACTCCCCACAGTAGTGGAATTAGCAAATAGCTCTCTATTCAGCTTCTAAATATAGTCTTTAATATTATCTTGGTATACAAAGTTTATATTGCGACTGGCTGTTTTGATAGCTGGCATATTGTTTAAAACTTACTTTAATTTGAAGGACAATATCATACAATTCTAGCTTTTCACTAGCAATATTTGTTACATAGCATTAACGAGCTGTGCCTGCTGTTTCACCAACATGCGCATTGGTACACATATGGTCTAGAACCTGACAAAGTACATAGACTACTTTTTAATGTGAAAACGGTGTAAGGGTTGAAAGGGGAAATAAAAGGTTACATGGAAGTATCGTCATTTTACGCGAATGAAGTCACGGGCGCAGCTGAAAATGTGTGTATTTTAATTATAGATATTTTATTTAATTTATATTAATTTACAGCTCCTGATGCTCTGTACGAATGGCGTGAAACAATTTAATCAAACCCAATTGTGATAACAATTATGAATATTCATGGACTACGCTCGGCCTGGGTGGCACTATTAAACAATAACTTATTGGGAGAGATATTAAGTGAAATTCAAGCCTACAATTAATAAATCGATAGTATTTCACATAACTCACATATAGAAAGAGAGATTCAATATACGTACATACATCCAGTCATTTGATCAAATTGTGTTTTTATTTATTAGTAGAAGATTTATAAATAATCCTTATTCAAATAAACGTAATGTAAGCACTTTTAAATAGTTTTATTTTGTTATAATTTTTTTATATTCTTCTACTCATTCGGAATACAGACTCATCACAGGAAGAATGAGCAAGAATCTTGCGTGTCGCTCGTTTTAATAAGTGTTGTTCAGAAATAGATTTTAAAGAATTTCGTCTGAAGTTTTTGCTTGTACATGTTATATATATATTTAAAATATACACAAAACATAAAAATAATACTTTATAATATCTTATATATAAAATTCTCGTGTCACAGTTTTCGTTCCCATACTCCGAAACGGCTTGATTCTCGATTCTCGTATTGAGTAGGTCTGAGAATCAGCCAACATCTATTTTTCAGCGTGAAGATGTTAGGGGTAGCCCACCCCTAAATTTTTATTTTATTTTAGGCATAACAACGTTTGCCGGGACAGCTAGTAATCTATATATATATATGTATATTTATGTGAATGTAAATGTACTTAATTTAATGCCAAAAATTTAACACCCATGTCATTAAATGTACAAAAAAACAGAGAGAAAAAATGTAAAATAATAAATGTTATATACAAGGAATTCGTGATATATAATGTAATATATACATAACTTACCCATTATTAGCATAATCACAGGTAATGTTGAGAGACAGGCCAGAAACACTGTCATTAAAACTGAAACAAAATATGTATCTGTTAATATTATATTCACCAAGTACTTTAAAATCATTTTTATACATTTAACCCGTGTAGTTATTATATTTATCAACAATTATTATTAATCTTAAAACTAATACAGATTTTGAAGGGGAGAAAAAGAAAAGAACCTTACAAAATTGTCTAAAGTGTCTAAAGTCTGCACTCCAAATGCTGGGTGTCAACCTGCTAGTGTCACCAGAACTTTATGTTTATTTTATGTTTCAGTGTGTAGTTATGTTTGATATTTATTTATATATATTCTTTATTCTTTATTGTACACACACACACATAATAAAAAAAATATACAGAATAAATGTAATGTACAAGGGGCGAGCTTATCTCTAAAAAGAGATTTCTTCCAGCAAACCTAGAAAATGTTGTAGGATCGTGTATTAAATAGAATAGTCTATAATTCAGTCTAATTGGCACTATATATGGTAGTATGTCGTAAATGTTTACTCTGTGTTATCCGCCTAGATCTATGTATGTATGTGTATTATTATTATTATTTTATTATATTTATTATATATGAAGGTATCCGCAGAAAACCAGCGTCGTGGCACCCCGTCACGACATATGCTGAGCGGAGACCTATTTGATACCGAAAAAATGTAAATTAAAATTATAAAATTATTTTCAGTGTACGAAATAAACAATTTTCTTTCTTTCTTTTCTTTAAAACTTTAACAAAAAGTCTGATAATTAATTGTTAAACTAAATATTAAAAGTAAAGATCGTTTTTTTATTTGTTTTAAGTACATTTCTTATTACACTTTATAAGTTAATGTTTCTATTAGTGAAGTTATAAGTTAATTACTAAATCATTTTCTCTGTTGTATTAATTTAATTGATTAAAATTTTCAAAACCCACTTAAAAATATGTTGAGTATTACTTCCCTGTTCTTCTTTATCTTAAATGGCTGCCACCAGTTTTGATCGGTGATATTGCCAATAGCTTCCTTCGATTTGTTTAGAATAGAATAGAAAATCCTATATTCAAATTCATAGTATTTTTTTTTATTTTACCCATTCAGAATGCTCTCTTTATGAGAAGAACGAGCAAGAAACTTGCATGTTGATCTTATAAATAATCGTTGTACTACTACTTCATATATCCTAATATTTACATATATCCTAATACTTTACTACAAAATATTTAGCACAATTTATTCTGTACTTTATTCTGTATAATACTTAAAACAATTCAAAAACCAATTAATGTTTAGTTTTTTGTTTACGAAGATTTATTTATTTAAACCTTATTGAATTGTACAATAGATGGGTTTAAAGCTATTATCATTGTCATACCAGCCAACCTTAGGAAGTGGAAATATACTCTTATCATTACATATTATAAAACAAAGTCGCTGTCGCTGTCCGTCCCTATGTAGCTTAAATCTTTAAATCTACGCAACGGATTTTGAAGCGGTTTTTTAAATAGATAGAGTGATTCAAGATTATATAATACATGTATACCCCTACGAAGCCGAGGCGAGTAGTATAATATATTGAGTTGCAATTGCGAACTATCTAAAAGAATAAATGAATAATGTGAAATATATTAAATGATATTACATATAAAACTGTGTTACATAGTATAAAAAGTCGATGTCGATGTCGCTGTCTGTCCGTCCTTATATAATATATGCTTAAATCTTTAAAACTACGCAACGGATTTTGAAGCGGTTTTTTTTTAATAAACTGATAACTAAAAACTTTAAAAATAATAAGACAATAACTAAAATCTGTTAATTTAAATAAAAATATATAATATAACATAATACTTACTAGTCCTATTCATAATTTTAGCAGCTCGGCAAACAAAGTCCACAGTCCCTGATGCCTCCATATTGGCATCTTTCAGCTGGTACGCCACAGATCCGTAGGTGGTCAGTCCTACGCCCAGACCCAGGCCGCTTCTATCATTGTACTTGGCCTGTTCACCACACAATCGGCGTTGTTCATCACCAGATACCTGTATTGGTAATACTTCAGATGTGAAATCTATTTATGACGGCGTTGGTGGTTTTACGGTTTAGTATATCTCTTGTTTATTATTGTTTTTTTTTTATTATAATTTTGTCATTACATATTTTTTATCATTATACATAATTGTGTATGAAACGGTATTTTCTGTGCGAGGAACATAAAAAGTTTCATTCATTCATTTATTCATTCATTCATTCATTCATTCATTCATTTATTAATTCATTTATTCATTCATTCATTCATTGGTTCATTCATTCATTCACTCATTTATTCACTCATTCATTCACTCATTCATTCATTCATTCACTCATTTATTCACTCATTCATTCACTCATTCATTCATTCATTCACTCATTCATTCATACTGCTTTACTTCCAACGGTAGCTGTTTCGAATCCTCACACGGTTCAAACATTTGTATCCATGAGTACGATTGTTTGTATCCGTCTGAGTGTTTCATATGTATAATATGTATGTATTTACAAAAATATATATCTATTTTAAGTATTTATATCAGTTGTTTAGTACCAATAACATATGCTCTGCTTAGTTTGGGACTAAATGGCGGTCTGTGAATTGTCCTGAGAATTTATCTATCTATCTAAATTACATTTTAGTCAAGAACGACAACGTGTTAGTACGTTAGGCGTTATAATTATGATAGCGTGATAATAATCCGCGTGTTCATATAAATAACGGTTCAGATACATAAAAATAGAAATAGAAATAATCTTTATTCAAATAAACTCATTACAAGCACTTTTGAACAGTCATATTTTGATTCTACCACTCATTCGGAATGCAGATTCATCACAAGAAGAATGAGCAAGAAACTTGTGTGTTGCTCTTTTTAATAGATGTTTATATAAATAATTACAGTATAATAAGTGAGAGGCATGCGACAATCAACATACAAATCGCTACGCACTCATTATTAGTGTAATCAGATAATATTGTCAGTGCTATGGATTTTAAGTTTTTCTATAAAAACATTATTATCGTTAACGAATTCTTAAATTTTATAGTAAGCTTTTTTACAAAGGAAGTGTTTTATATGACATTTATATCTTTTTTCAGGCAGATTTATAATAGACTCTATTATTTTGTTGTAAAACCATAAGCAATTACCACAAAACGAATGACTAACTTTAGTTAAACGACATTTAGGTAAAAAAAAGAAAAAAGAATAATTGGTATATTGCTATGTGGTAATTCGTTTTACTTACACAAAATTTGAAATTTGTAAAATATGTTTAAACAACACGGTCAGACAAACATATATCATTCACATATCATTAAGCGTTGTTCTGAGCACCAAATTTGCAACTAGTAAATTCTACATTTGTTTAAAAAACACATATCTGTTTCTTGGGCATTGTTCTCATCTCCATTTGCATTAGGAATATGAAATTGTTCTTTAAAAGTGCTTATATTAAGTTTTTTATTCTTTGTAGTTTAATCTTATATATAAAATTCTCGTGTCACAGTTTTCGTTCCCATACTCCTCCGAAACGGCTTGACCGATTCTCATGAAATTTTGTGAGCGCATTGATTAGGTCTGAGAATAGGCCAACATCTATTTTTCATCCCCCTAAATGTTAGGGGTAGTCCACCCCTATTCTTTTTTTTTAAGGCAAAACAACGATTGTCGAGACAACTAGTGTTGCTATATTAAACTACAAAGAAGCTTATTACAAGCATTATTTAAGTTATCATGCATCAGCATTTATGAGCTATTCTAAAAGATTTTTTCTGAAATAAAATTGGCCTAAGTTACTCCTTATTACATCAGCTATCTGCCAATAAAAGTCCCGTCAAAATCGGTCCAGCCATTTCAGAGATTAGCCGGAACAAACAGACAGACAAAAATTGTAAAAAATGATATTTTATTTTAAGTACCGTATTTATTTTTATATGTATAGAAGAGAGAATTTAATATGAAATGTTGCGATGGATATGTTTAGAATATTGCGTAAAGCCAGTAGATATTCGGTAAAAGCTATTGTGATGCTAGTTCCAAGATAAGGCGAATAGTATTGTATTCAATAATATTTTATTCATTTTCAACTTGCGTGACTTTCCGTGGTTGGATCTAGTTTATTAAAAGCGTGATTCTAACCGCTTATTCTATAACAAAGGAAACGAATTAATTAAATGTGTTGGGGCGATAATTTATTCACAGCGAATATAAAACTGAAGTAATAAACATGTAACTGAAATGTTTTCTTTTTATACATCATAAAGAAATTAAGTATAAAAATGTTGTAACATGAGTTGTATAGATTACAATCATGCAATTGTGATCTACGGCCGTCTTCTGTATAAGATAAAAGTTAGTAATATGTGTCAAGTAATTCAAATTCAAATTCAAAATATCTTTATTCATGTAGGTCTATTACAGACTTATGATATATCAAATCTACCATCAGTTCAAAATGATTTCGAGATGAGAAGAACTGACAAGAAGTAATCATCTCAATACAAACCTGACTAACAGAGCTAGAGGCTCGCCTAGAGCCAGTGTCTGATAAAGCACCGGTAGCACTGTGTCGTCCACCTACTGATGCTCTGTACGGTGACACACTTCTGCCTTTTGTTCCTGTTTGAGAAAGAAGCAACAATTATATAATTGTAGATATGCATAGACATATAATTGCATCTAAGTCTAAAAAATTAGCAATAAAGCAATGAAGTTATGATGAAATATCTACTGGGCAACTTAAGAATATAGAAAAATCTCAGTAACAATCACCTGAGGCGCTAAGAAAATATTATAATACTTTAAACGCAAGAATCTATGTCGTGTGTGTCGATTTTACGGACACTATTTATTGTAGTTTAAATTTTAGAGATATTTTGGGGTTAGATGATGAAGGAAAATTTTGTAACTGAAAGAATGAATTTGATTTCTAATAAAATTTACATTACCTGTAGCTTGACTATCTTCGCTCGCCCGCCTTTCTCTAGACACTAAAGGCTCTTGAAATGTAAGCGTCAAACTACCCCTAGGACTGACCCTTGCGGTATCAACTTCACCTGTGACCAAGCTTCCTCTTGCGCTCCTCTCTGAAGGTGCAATACTACCCCGTGGGCTTCTTTGGGAGTCAGGAATTAAAGAACCTCTTGGACTTCTATTTATCTCCGGCAGATCTTTGGTCTTGAATGGCACATCGGTAGCTATACTTCCTCTAGGACTCGTTCTTGGACTGGGCCCTAAATCCTTTTGAGTTCTTCCTGGATCTAACTGTATACTTGCTACAGAATGCCTTGGACTTCTACCCACGTCTGGAACTAGCGAATTTCTAGGCTGATTCCATGATGTGCCTTCCGGTACTAGACTTCGTCTAGGACTTCTAGCTGTTACGTCTGGAGTAATACTGTTTCTGGGACTTCTGTTAAAGTCTTGAGGATTTAAACTTAACCGTGATCCGTATGATAAATCGACGGCTAAGTTGTTTCTATTTGGCGCCAGACTATTTCTATTTGACATAGCGCTGTCGGGAGTAATGGAATTCCTAGCTGACCTCACTTCAGGAACTAGAGAATTTCTTGGACTACGGTGATATAAGTCTAAAGCTGCATCAGGTGCAAGACTGGCACGTGGACTTCTTGGTGGTGGCGGAGTGTCCATTTCTTCATCTGTTTCCGTAGTAGCTAGTGATGCTCTTCTTGAAGGTTGAGCTGAAGCTCTCGGAGATCTGGCCTGAGGTGAGGTAGCTGCACTTCTGGAAGCTCGACGACGCCTCGACGAGGATGTTCTATGTAACATTTTGTTAAATTATTACATCACTGCAAATAATGGAAGCCTATCCGATGTTTGGTTTCTTTTCCCTATGGAATCTGAAACAAAGAAAATAAAACTTTTTACATATAATATTATTCATTCTACATAAAAGCAAAATGATTGATTTAACATTGTTTGTGAACAAAATATCTTTAGAGACTTTTGTGTGTTCTCTTAAAAATAAATTTTGTGAATATAAGAATTATTAAATCCCATGTTACTTCTGGTTATAAAATAAGAATTTCTTATGAAGTTCAGAATGTCATGAGAATACTACTGAAGAAAATCATATACACATCTCAGTACAATGCAAACAATTAAAATTAATCACTCATTACTGCCGCTGCACAACTTTCTACGAAAGGTTTTTATAAGAAGGGTGTGGTCAGTTGCAAAATTGCAGAGAGGTACAATTTAGTCCTTGGAAATTGCATTAGAGCTACATGAAACTGTTCGCGAATAATATAATAAGTTTCATCTGATAGTCCATTAGCTTGTTTACCATATTTTTTTCATGGATCATAATAGAATGGTGCCGCCTGCGCTAACGGTTCACGCTGGCGGGGCACCAGTAGAGGATGATAAGATGACCATGAGGTCAGGTCAGTTGGCCCATCGTGACAAATTCACTAGGCATATATAATTTATGGAGGTCGACCTACATAACATGGTACATTGCCAGCAATGGAGGTCATTACTTCCCATTACGAACAATCTGCTTCACCCCGCTTGTTTATCATTGTAATTCTAAAAAGGATCTCGATCGACTTGGTAATGATGATAATTCCTCACCTTACGAAAGAACCATCCCTAGTCGTGAGATAACGAATCGATAAGATGATGGAATCCCATGAGATGAAATTCAATAAAGGGCGGTAACTAATGGAGTAATAAACATAACAGTTTTAATATAATGTAATTCATAAACCGCTCAAATTAGGCGGTTTGTTTACGATCAATATATAATATTTAGTAACTCATTAAGTGTACTCAGTTAGGTAATCTTATCTAATTTATTAAGGTCTGCTACTATATTCTGTAACATTGACTTTAAACTGAAATATAGTTCAGACGTTACGTTAATAATGAAGTAAATGTATTTTATGTTTAAAGCCATGAATTGAGAAGTTGTTTTCAAGGCATTTAGGTAATTATTATGAACAAAATATAAATTGAGGTAACTTTTTGTATAACTAAAATCAAATCAAAAATAATTTGACATTTTAGCCGCTTATCAACGTCAAGTTTTTTATATTAATGTTTTTCCGCACCGTCCAGTTTAGTATACAGATTCAATTGAGAAGAATTGCCAATAAACTCAACTAAATTTCTTTTTTTATAAAAACCAAGCTTTCAGTATTATTTTGAATTATTATTATAAGTTCAATAATATAAGTCAGACGTAAATTTAGCTCTTTGGAAGATAAGTTACAAGATTTCACATTTTACGACTTTTTTTTCTTCAGACTACTCTAATGCAGGCCGCAGCTGGCCTTTACACCTTCACCGGACGATAGCAGGCGAGTGCAGATGGCACTCTAAACCCGCGGAAGAACTAATGGAGCGACTGAAGGCCAACTCCCGCCTGACGGATACGACTTAAGTATGAGGCCACCGTTGGGGGTTCGAAACTCGGCGAGCGGAGGGGATTTTACGACTGTGACAATACAGACAACCGATATACATAGATAAACGATTATTTTATGTTTAGCACGCACTAAGAAGTACTTTAACGCGACTTTTCTGGTATTGCTACTCTAAGGGTATAGTCCAGAAACTTTGGAAGACGGCTTTGGTAAACCCGATCCCTAAGAAAAGAGATCACTCAGTTCCAACTAAGACCCATAGCTATAATCTTAAAGATTAAACATATTCTTGATACGACTTTAGTATGAGAGCACCGCTGGGGGATCGATCTCGGTGCAGGACGTCGTAATTTTGATCCCCGTTTCATTTGGACGGAGGTGAAATCAGAGTACGGAAATCGCGAGTGCTGTGTTGCAATCTTTTTGTGTTGAAAAAGCACTAATTATATATATCAATACTGACATCGCTTTACGGCAGTCGACTTGTAACCACGGCCAGAGCTAGTTGAAATGCCAAGTTAGCTAAATAAAGGGTAATAACAATAGTACATTTAAGTGTCTATGTTTGTATTGTACTACTAACTAGTATTGTCCACCTAATAATAAAAACTCTACTAATAATTGTATGTTGTCCCTTATGTGTTGTGCTAGCCTTAATTATAATATACAGAACCCGAACAAAACTGTCAAACTTTACCGAGCAAACTAAAATAAAGTCACAGCTACGAACTACATTGTGTCTCTCAAACCATGACATTGGCAAAATTATCGATCAAAATTGGTGGCGGCCATTTAAAATAAAGAAGAAGAAGAACAATAGTACATGGTGAATACAAGCGAATACCTAAAATGTATTATTGTAGTGTTTCTGGAGAAACCAAAAGAACATCATAAAGTCAAGGTGATTATAAAATAGCAAATTATACGTAAACAAATTATTATTATATTAATGGTTAACTTTCAAAGTATTTCACTTGAATAGAACGTAAATTTAGACTGAAATGAAACAACAACCAAGTACTATTTATAAGGATATAATTACATAGTATAAAACAAAGTCGCTGTCGCCGTCTGTCCGTCCCTATACATGCTTAAATCTTTAAAACTAAGCAACGGATTTTGAAGCGGTTTTTTTAATAGATGATGATTCTAGAGGAAGGTTTATATAATACACTAACTGTCCCGGCAAACGTTGTTTTGCTATATAAATTAGTAACGCTATAAAAAAATAGGGGTTGATTATAGAAGGGTGAAAATTTAGGATTGTATGTATTTTTGTATGTTGTATCATAAAAAAATAAAAACTAAAAATTTTGTCTAAAAAATAAAAAAAAAATTTAGGGGTGGACTACCCCTAACATTTAGGAGGATGAAAAATAGATGTTGGCCGATTCTCAGACCTACTCAATACGCTCACAAAATTTCATGAGAATCGGCCAAGCCGTTTCGGAGGAGTATGGGAACGAAAACTGTGACACGAGAATTTTATATATAAGATATATATAAAATTTTCACAGTTTTCGTGTCACAATTTTATATAATAGAAGACCCGTGCTATTGTTATAAGCTAGCTATTATTTAAATAAGTAATGAATAAACCAGATCAGAATTTCACTATTCTATTCTGAGCTATTTCTGCTCACATAGATAGGTTATAATTTGTTTTGTCAGTACCTTTGACAAACAATTCTGACGATAAACACCTTGCTTTGACATCTGTGTTCGAATCTTATTTGAAGAATGAGATACCATAATGGTAAAATCACATGTTTTCTTAGTGGTGAATCCAAGGACCGACGATTTGTTCAAGACCGCTGGAAGGCATTGGATGCGAGCAGCGCAGGACCGATCGTCGTGGAGATCTTTGGGGGAGGCCTATGTCCAGCAGTGGACGTCTTCCGGGCTGCGATGATGATGATGATGATGAATCCAAGGAATGATAAGAAGATCATCTTACAAAAAATATTATGATGACCGGTAAACGTGGGCTATATATATATATATATATATATATATATATATACACTAATGCCTTCTATCTTACAATTACACAATTTTAGATTACATTCCTGTTCAGAATAACAAAATAAAAACAAAAATATTCTATACTAGCTGAGCCCGTGGTTCTAGCCGCGTCAAATTTATAGCCTATATATTATTGTGATGTATAAGCTATATTACTGTAAAGTTCCATCAAAATTTAGTTATTGCGTGAAGGAGTAACAAATATCCACACTTACTTGATTCGTATTTATATGTATTTTATACACTTACTTATTATATTAATAAAGTTAATGTACATACCCTAACGAATAATTTTTTGTTTATCTCTCGACGTTTCGATATAAACTTTATTTGCCATAAAATTAGTTAATAATTTAAATAATGTATATTAATAATAATGTAAATATCTAACTTTTTTGTTTATTTGATATAAACAAAAGAATAATATCTGTTATTAAGTACTAATGATACGGTCCCATCAAAACCTGCCATCATCTCATCCAATGAATACGTTAAAAGTAATCTAAATATATATAACTCAAGGTGACTGACTGATATTGTGATCTATCAACGCACAGCCCAAACCACTGGACGGATCGGGCTGAAATTTGGCATGCAGGTAGATGTTATGACGTAGGCATCCGCTAAGAAAGAATTTTGATTAATTATACCCCCAAAGGGATAAAATAAGGGATGAAAGTTTATATGAAACTTTGTCAATTTTAAACCGATCGAGCTGAGACTTTGCATGCATAAAGCTACTATGACGTAGGCATGCCCTAAGAAAGGATTTTGATAAATTCCACCCCCAAGGGGATAAAATAGGGGATGAAAATTTATATAAATCTTCTTAGATTTTCGACTGATTGAACTGAAATTAAAGATTGGAGTTACTATGATGAAGACGTTCCTTTATATAGGATTTTGATAAATTCAACCTCCATGGGGATAAAATAAGGGATGATGCAGGATGCGAATAAATTAAGACAACCAAATTATTTTTAGTTCTTTAGACTACTATTATTTTAGAAAAATATAGTTAAATTCCACGCGGACGAAGCCACGGGAACAGCTAGTCACATTATACATTTCATAGAAGTAAATTATCATGAATAACTGCGCATGTACAGCGCCAGCTCCCAACATTGTCATAATATCGTGTATAAATCAAACAAGCCGAGCAATATCTGCTTCTAATATTAATAATATTCATCCCTTATTCCTTATTGTGTGGGGGCTGCCAACTGACGTGGTTGTGGGCGACAAAAAGGATATTACTTGTTGAACACTTCCAACAAAATTATATGAATAAATCGTCCTCCACTCAATATTATACGAATATTAACCACTGATACTACATCTGTCCACATCCCGCTTTTTTAACAATATAACGAG